ATTCTAATTTGGTTTTTGGTAGCGCTTGATTGCTCTGTGGCAAAAATGGCAACAAACCAAACGAACAAGAAGGAAAGCGCCCTCTTTAAACAATATCGTACTCTTAATTATGACACTGTAAGGAGGAAAAAAATAACTATATAGTACCAAGATAAAAGGAGATGCGTACGTGATATTTGTAATGTACCTGATTTATAGTCGTTAAGTTCGTACTATTCTTGACTGATTCCTATATAATAAATTGAAATTCAAATCTTTCACACATTTTCTTTGAATTCATTGCTTACATATATAATGAACCCTGTCTCACAACACGGACGTACTTCATGTCGCGCGTTACGAAGCTCTAGGAGATACATTCTATTTATTAAGAAGTTAACGTTAACACGACGCACATTCTAAAAAGGTCGCTGAATCTAACTGTTTCGTTTTTGAAAATGAACGGAATGCGCTTTAATAGGGTTGAAGAAAATGCATTTAACCCTGCTACATTCACAGGGTCAGCTTCGTTTCGAGAGTTAATTCGCGAGATCCCGTGATGTCTTCATTGTGAGAACTGTGTTTTCCTACTCCGTCTAAACCTCCCTTCGCCAGTTTCGGATTTGGTCCGTTTCCTATGCTTTCTCTGCCTGTGACAACTCTCGCAGGACGCATGCGATTCCTTAAAGACTTCACTGTCGTTTTGAGAAACCTCTATCCGGCTACCCCTCACGGTCTAAATTATCATTGATGCCGCGTCTCATTCAGAGGTTTCGCCGCAGTTCTCTCTTTCACTTCGAGATAGGGAGATGAGAGAGGCCATGGGCTTGTTCATAACCGAGTTAATTAGCAATTCCAAAGTATGAATGACTCGTATGAATGAATTGAGAATCAGTGGACTAACCAAGCGAACGATGCTGTCTCTGTCCGGCAATGGAATCATCACAACCGGCCGTAGCCAGTTCCTATTTCAGAATAGCGGCCTTCCTTGTAACTTATAACCCACAGGATGGAACAGGACATTGGAGAAACGAACGAACACTGCAAATCTAAAAGCGTCCCCTGTGCCGCCGTAAGAAGGCAGGCCCCACTTTGCTAGTCAGAGTTGACGATTCCATTTCGTCGGGTCGGAAGTGGAAGCTGAAGTCGTTGTATTACACCAACAGCGAGAAGACACGGTGAACGGATCTGCATTTTAAGATCGGATTGCTGTCGGCTGACGTAGAAAATATCACGGGAGATGTATCGTAATGAAGATTACATGTACGGAGATTCGCGCGCTTAGCAGCCATGCTAACACGCCATAATTATCATAAGAACATCATAATATAACGAGATATAGCAGAACAGTGGTAGAGGCAGAGGCCAACATCATGCTCTACTTCAAATTAGTACTTCGCTGCGTCAATTGCACATCATGACGCCGCGAAAGCGTGGAGGTGTTTTCCGAGAATTGTAGGTGCAACGGTATAAGTCTAGCTGATGTAAAAACGTATAAATCACTTAAAAAGGACACCAAAACTACAAGGGGTTCTCCAGCAACGTATTATCATTATAGCAAGCATGACTGCCTTGCTCCATAGCGGCAGCAAGAATTGCTCGATAAACTGATGCATATTATAGAACTCTAACAAATTATTTTTTATTTAAATTTATTAATGTTCAAACACTTTTAGATTAAGGAGCCATACATATATTGTATTTAGTACTGATGGCTCCAACAGGGTGGCTTGTGGAATCTGATGACCAAGATTTGGCGTTATCCGAAGTCAGCACCTATAGATTAATTCCTCCATTAATAAATTCGTCGCGTGAATTATGTTATTATGATGTGAATTATGTTATTATGAAATTAGGATGTGTAAACTCTATGACAAATTATTGTAAATATGAACCAAAGAGAATTTGCCACTATTTCTTTCATAGTAACGCTACTTTTTATACTGTTCTGTCAAGAAAATGTCTCGTCGTCAATCGTCATCTTTTTTGATATCCTTTCTGTTGTCTTCTTTTCGAAAAAGCGAGCGCCCGATGATATTTTAGTCAAGCCTGACCGACACAATTTTTTTTCTGCCCCTCCTTTGTAGTCTTCTTGTACTGCCGGCACCGTCTGATTTAGCAGTAGGTGGTCAAGCATCAACCCGTCGGAGAAAGCAACTTACAACGATTCGATCACATCACCACTATAAGCAAACGCAAAACTAGACACGGACGCACAGTCGGACAGGCAAATAGCCATACAATAACAGACAAAGCGACTCATTTACTGAAGCAGCCTTCTTTGGCTTGTTTCTCTGCTCTTTCGTCCGTACTGATTAGATTTTCTGCTCCCCAATTCGACTAACCTCTTGACGCCGTCCGGGGAGGTGCTGTCTGCTCCACAGTAGGATGCAGAGGGCTTCTTTGGAGGTTCTGAGGAGGCCAAGGGGCCGAATTGGGACTAAAGGAGGGCTCACGGTGATTTATGTGGTCGAGCACACTGTTAAGTGAGCAGGGGCCAGGATGGGATCAGGATGCCTCTGTCTGGCTTCGACGAACACAGTTCGACGGAGTGGCCTTGAAGTCCAATGGTTGAGCTGGGATCAACACACTCTATCGATTGGTTCTTAATTACATATTTAACGCCTACCTGAGGAAAACGTTCAAATTCCAGAATAGCATTGAAGAAACATATGAATAATAAATTTCATGTACGTTCAACGATTACGAAAATCACAGTTATCATTTCTGGTATAAATAGTAAGTGATGTTACACTGCCATATCTAAATCCAATGGAATATGACTAGGCAAAAATGTTTTAATGAATCATTTAGTAGCTTCAAAGAACCGAACCTGCCCAGACATGTCAGTATTATTCAAGACACGAAATCACCTTTGTTCATAGCGAAAGCGTTGTTGATTCTGCATTAGATATAGTTCAAATAAAAAGGCGTAAATATGGCAAGACACTCGGCTAAAATATCAGCAAAATATAACAGATAAAAAATTATATGATCGAAATAGGCAGCAGGAACGGTTTCATTCATATTATGTCTGTAACGAAAAACAAAGTAAACATTGACAAAATGGCTGATGACATCCGCGCTGAGCCGTATCTCTAGCTGAATTGATTACGCCACAACATCGGAACATCCCGCAACAACTGGGTGCAAAAGACTCCCACGAAGTTCGGTGTAGATCGAAAGCGTGGCCGCCTACTTGAACAGGCCGCAGCTCTCAACGAATGTCGTACTCTACTTCGAGCCGCCCAGACAGTTTGTACATACAGGGCATGTCGGGAAGATGCTTGTGGCCATAGCGGAAAACATGGCCAACGAAAGAGTCAACGGACGGGGAAAACAGAAGAAGGATTGATATAGAAGGAGTATAAGAGGTAAAGCGAGGGCGGCCGCACAGTTATACGCTCGTATAGCGGCGAGTGTGAATCAACAGACCACGACCGCATAAAGGCAACGAAAGGTGCTTCAAGGCCCAGTATTCCGTAGATATAAAACAGCAGAACTATGAGAGGAAAAGGAGAAGACGGAACTAAATCCTCACGAGAAAGTAGAGAACGGGGGTGTTAAGGATCTGATGCGACTACTCACATTGGACGACGAAACTCTCAGTCGACCAAACTGCAAAGAACTGGTGCTGACACCATCAAGCGACAGACTTTTCGACTGTGCCACGCCAGTTCCCTGGCCGTCTTGCAGCGACGATAAAGGTAGCTTACCCGAAAGTGTGTAGGGCTGTATACGCGTTGAACCAAAACACGAATGAATGTGCTATAACCACGACGTATTTTATGGGTGCATACATTTAGATGGGGCAGGGAAAGTGGGGAGCTCAGATGTGGGTTACACTGAAGCAACACGCCTTACAATGTGCAAGGGTCGGTTAAAACTACGATGAAGCTTCACAGACGGCCAATATCCATGTAGGGCCGTCCTGTCTCACGACCTTTACCGTGTACATATACTAGATATAATAATAATCATAATAATATGCACAGGTCCTGAAAAGAAAAACTTTTGTCATTAAGTAGGTATAAAGAAAACGTCCATATATTTAAAGGGAGTGATGGTTGAAGTTTTGCCTTTTCATTGCCCTGAAGATTCACCAGGCAGGATAGACGTATAAGTTTTTGTTTGTTTCTGTCTCTTTTTCTTTCACTTTGTCAGTGTAAGCACCTTCTATTTCAAAAAGCAATATACATGTATATGTATCTATATTTCGTTTTTGAATTCCAGTTGTATATAACTTTATTTCGAACGATTTGGTAAATGTTACAGTTACGTTGAACCTGTTACACCCGAAAAGTCGAACCTATGCCTCTCTTCGATTTTCTATGCTTGCCTACAACCTTAGTTAGCTTTTACTATAGTTGTTTTTCCAAAAACGTCAATATACACGCAGCGCATGCGATTCCGAAGTGGAAGTCAGACTTTTTATGTTTCGTATGTCTAATCGTGCGTGGGTTTAGTTATCAACTTAAGCTCTGTCCTTAATTTGAATATCATTTTAAATCTTATGATTTGCTGCGTTGTATGCGTTCTAAGTATGAAATAGATAAAGTAAGCTTGACATTAAATACAAATAGACAATTAGTTTTATAAATGGCTCGCATTTATAAAAAAAAATATAATTATTTTACCATAAAATATCTTAAAAAGAAAATTTATCCCTTTTTATGTAAAGCACGAAATCTAGAATCTGTTATAATTCGATGATATTCGGTTATAATTCGATATAACTGCGATGTCTTATTTATTATACGTTCTAGATGTATATTTTAATAATTTATCTGGCACGTGCAATGGTGAATGAGCTTTGAACAAACTAGCAGACCTATTGATATTTTTACACACGTTTCTCTTTAACAAAATAATTTTTTTAAGACAGCTACCTGCTTATAAGACTGACATTATACAAACAAGTGAAAATGCCTCTATGTAAGAGGTCACCGACGGAGGTACCTCTCTATAAGAAAAACATAATAGCCTGGTATTAGGTGCAAATAATGACATCAGAACACAAGAACGGAAGAATGACTTGAGTGGTTATTTATTTCAAAATGCCGAATTCATCTTCTCCGTCTTACACCAAAAAACCGGCTAAGCAATGTTAATGGTCCTGCGATAGGCGCAGGCGCGAGAGATGGCGGGGGTTGCGGCTGAACATAAACTGGTTGCATATACGGGTCCACATAGGGTTGTTGTGGTTGGTAAACGCTTGGCATTCGCGCAATATCATTCACTTGCAAAGTATCTTGTTGCGGTGCTAAAATCCAGAAACAGTAGCATCTTTATAAGACACTTAGCAATTGTCAGGAAGCAAAAATTGAAATAGCCAAACACTGAAAGCACAGTTAGCACCAGGACCTAAAACCGCTGCGAAATTTCACTATAATACGGTTTTTTTTTGGTTAAGAAAAGAACTGCAATGGGGGGTTGGAAAGTACCTTGCATTTCAAAATGTTTCTCCCTTGTGCATGCCTAAGAGAGAAACAGTTTTTTTTTTATAGTATTACGGCCCAAGAATCAAGCAACCGTATATGATATATTGGTTTTCTGGAACTTACCTGCACATACGACAGCTAGTCCAATAAGAATTGCTTTCATTGTACAACACAGGCAATGTCGCGCCATTGTGGTAGGCTTTCGATTTAGCCTTTACTTCATTTAAAACAAGTCTATTATCATTTAACGTTTGTTACGGTTTAGTATTCTCAGAGTCAAGAATCTGCCAAGATATAAGTCCCTTATATATAATCTATAGGTGCAACATACTGTGGCCTACGCCGCAATAGTTTGATCGGGACAGCTGTTTCATTACGTCTAAACTAATCGAGTCGTGACATGACCACTGCCATTAAGACTTACCCTTAATTTGCGGACGAAAGACAGTTACCTAATTATTCTTTCCATCAATGTTTATCAGCACCTTCGTTACATCTTAACAACATATCTAATTATTTCAGCGAGACAATTTGCTTACATAACTCCCGCATTGGGTGAATGTGTTCCAATGAATCTCTTTCAATAACGTTCCAACCTACGTAATCCCACTCTCAGCTAATGTTGTCTTTTTTGGTATTAACGAATACTTGATTCAACCATATGTAAGCAAAATTAACCAGTTTCTTAGTCTTTTTTATTTGCAAGATCGTTAATTTCTTTCATATTATCTATTTTGCATATACCCACAACACGTGTAAAAAAATCATATTTTCATAAATTACAATTTGAATGCAAGTTTGAAGTCTGTACTTACTACATTTGAGAAAAGCACATTTTTTGGTAGTGGAATATCTACACAGATCTCAGCCAGCTCTAACCCAAGCCTTATGCTTATTGCTCATCCGTTCGTTTCTATCATACTTCTCTATCATAATACATCTGAATTAGTATTTCAAATATACCAACAACAACCAAACCTCAAGTCTTTAACAAAAAGAACTCCTCATGAAAAGTTTAAAGGAAAAATATCTTTCTTTTTTATTTAGAATTTCATCTTGTCAATAGCTCTTTTGGCTCATGAGTCAGATTATCGAGTCGATCGATGTTTAAAGGAATAACTAATTTTCGAAGGCCCTTTGCTGTGCTACGACTGCGGGAAACGACTATTCAAAGAGAACGTAAAAATTAATATTAGTGCGTACAATTATATGATTAACGTTAGTTAACGCTACCGAACAACATAAAACAACAGCCCTAAATTGAACACTCATAGCTCCTCCGAATAGTAATTCTCATTATATTTCATTCAGATGAATTATCTTATGCTGAGCGCCTACGGGTTAAGCCCTCGAGCGAAAAAACAACACAAATTAGAATACCGAGCCAACGGCGACGCCTGCACAAGAAAATTGCGCTCGTCGTTTATTGTTTATATGTTGGATGGGTACATCATGATCCTAACGCGATTCCCCATGGCCTTCGCGGGCAGATTAACACGGAACTTCGCGCGAACGACTCCAGAATTACCGTGAGTACGGTATACCCGACCCCAGATGGCACGAACCTTCGTCTGCTGATCTCTTGACTTGCCAGGAACACGTTTAGAATTTTTAGCTCGGTAAAGGTACACGCAACGCTTGCCGACATAGTATTGGGCAGCCTGGCGACGAAGGCAACCTACAACAAAAATCGGATAATAGTGACGTAGTCAATTGATCGTAAACAACGCTACAAACGAACGATGCAGCTCAATAAGAGAAAGCTTTTGCTCACTTGGCTTTAATTCAGTCGACGTTTCGCAAAAGACGTGAGTTGCTAAAAAATCACAACTGATTTTAGGCCAGAAGTCGATACAGACCGCAGATCTAGTAAGCAAGTTGAAGTTTCATCCACAGACTTGAAGCTAACTCCTTAATTGGCCACGGTTTGACTAGATTCGCTGACGATATTAGTAGATAGTAACATTAAAAATCTATAGTGCTCTAATTTATTTTATGAGCAAACAAGCGTTTTCAATATAAATCAGAAGTATCTCACCATCTATTTTAAGGAGAGCGGTGTGCTCGCGCTGATTTCTCTGTCCACGCCGGAACCCGGTAAAGACGGCCTTTGCATGTAGGCGTACCCTCGGCGTAGGGCGCAGGTGCCGGACCTCCGACTCAACAAGAGCTGGAGCCTTTTTCGGTTCTTTTTTGGGCGCAGAGGCCGCTTGGGCCGGTGCTTTTTTCACTGCCTTCTTGGCTGTGTCGGCCATTTTAACTATTAAAATCCAGATCACAGTTCAGATATCGACACCAATACCAGAAAGCAACAAAGACACCTATTAACACATCACTGATGACAGTCTATGAACGTATGGCAGAAACTACGTTCTAACTAAGTTGACTCAATGGAATTCCAAGTTTTCCCAAGAACCATATGTCAAATACATTTATCGGAGATAAATCTACACATTGCCCCAGAAGTGATCGTACTGGCAATATATGGAAATCAAACTATTCGAAGTGTGAATGGTCAAAAGATATCGTCAATGTTCGATCTATATGTGTTTTTCCTAAGACGATTTTCTAAGGCATAATTTCGTTAAGACTAACGGCTCAGCAGCTTAATTTAGAAGTGCTAGTAAACATACTTCATATGGTCACGCATATCGTTATATACATGAATCCGCTCTAAAAAAATCTTTACATAAGTTGTTTACGCTGCAACCTATTTCACAGAATGAAAAAATTATTCTAAGTCAAGATGCCACATTCAATCTGAAATATTGTCACTTTGTCCTGTAAGCGTTTTCATCAATTTTTTTAACCGAATCAGAAATATCAACGGTTTCCAACGTGTTTAGCTCAGCTACATAGCTGAATGACAATCCAAACAAATCCGAACGTATTTTCACCAAAGTGACACAGAATCTCACTAAATCTTCTCAGCAACGATCACAAAATCTCGTGGTAGGCATGCTCCATTCATTATACCGAAATTTCGCCAAAAATATTATAAAATTGAAACACTGATCATCGTACCGAGAAATCAATATGGCTGAAAAGAACAAACAGGGCCGGAAAGGAGTTTGTTGTGGTTTCGATTCGTCTGTTTGTTTACAGCGGATCCAGCACTCCGCTAGCGAGAGGCTAAATTAAAGAAAATAGTGTATATTTAAGATTTTCGTTAGCAAATTAAAAGAGAACACAAGCAAACTTACCAAAAAGGGTAAGAGAAAGTATTTTATTTAAAACTCCTTATGACACCGTACAAACATCATAACCAGGTCAGATGATCAATTTCATGGTGTACGTTGAGCTAGACCTGAGAACTGCGAATTTCAGATACGACACCTTGGTTGATAAATTTGCAAACTATCCAGGTGAAGAAGTTCTGCTTTCTTTATGAAAGCTCAGTTATTTTTTGAATATTTTCTACATGAGTGACAAAAGTCAAAAAAGAAGTCGAGTGCCCTCTGCTGCCTCCATGGTAGGCCATACAGAATAATGAAACAAGCAAATAAATTATCGGATACTAAATAAAATAATTCAGCTAGTATTATTTTTCATAGCCGAATTTTACCATCAAAGAAAGCGATCCCTAAAATAAGTAAAACTGAATTTATTTTATTAATTCGCATATTTGGAAGTCGCCGCGCTCGTGAAAAGCGGGAGATTCAAAAATGCCAATAGAATATCTTAATACCTGGACAGAAAAACACCAAACAAAGAGAATGTATACAGTAGTATTTGTGAACTAAAATTTATTGTTTTATCGCTTTTGTAAACATCTGTTATACAAGAGCTTATATAAAAATGAATAGTAAATGAACAGTCAGTGTCCTACATGTGGTGAGACGAGAATGCTTGACTGAAGCACTTCTTGCTTTCACAAGATGGAAATTTGTGCCAATTTAAGAACTGGCGTTTTTCGCAGTTTGTTTAATAGAACACATCGAAGTCATATAACTGCTCGAGTTTTGCGCGATTCAAGATCATGTCATGTTACAATAGTTCGAAAAGAGGAGGAGACTCCACTTCTGGCTTATCTTCGAACTCGTATCCTGGCTACCGGGCCATTTACCGTACACGATTATATGGCCGATGTTCTTACGAACTCTCAGGTAAAATGCAGTGTCAATTTGATTAGGTTTGAACTTGAATGCTAAGTGATCTGAAAAACGGCAGAACACGTCTTCTTCTCTTAGGAAAAATGTCTTAAATATTCTCATGTACTTAACTTTATCATTTTTAACTATGTTATGTCACTGCTTACTAACCAATGTTGCTGAAGAAGTTACGCAATGGAGAAACTAGTTAGGTTTTTACGTCAACACCATGTTTACTCCCTCATACGTAATGCCCATTTCTATGCTGCAGTTTTATGGCGCCTTATTCCGCTTTAATTGAGGGCTTAGTTTATGGCTATCTTAGATCTACATGTAGTTCAGGTTACATATTAATGACTATACGTGTTTTGTTGAATAAGCCTACGAAAAAGCCTTGGATAAAATATTTTCCTCTGAAGGTCTACGAATTTTTGGGATGGCGGTACAAAAGCTATCGAATAACTGCGTATATCAAAAATCAATATCGCAATCGAATTTGTCATCCATACTGCTGAAACTTTTGATCATTCTTCGTGATGTTTCACATTGAGCTTCGATCACTGGATTTCGTCACTCGCTTGGTAGAGTACTGATTTCCGTTACCATCATACTACATTGATAAACCACATCGAACATCATTATTAACTATATTCAATATGTGCTTGCAGCAGGGATACTACATGCACCGCGACATGTTCGGGGCAGCTGGCGACTTCACGACATCTCCAGAAATTTCGCAGATGTTCGGCGAAATGATTGGCGTATGGTTCCTGAACGAATGGCTAGAGGCCGGCTCTCCACAACCGGTACAGATAGTCGAGGCTGGCCCAGGCAGGGGCACGCTCATAGCAGATATTCTACGCGTATTTTCCAAATACACAAAGTTAACGCAGTCCCTAACGGTGCACCTCATCGAAGTATCGCCGCACCTCTCGACACTTCAAGAGGAGCACCTTTGCGGTACGGCAACGGAACAGATCACAAGCCAAAACTACTATAAGGAATCAAAGACACGCACGGGTTCTTCTGTTCGATGGTACAAAGATATCCATTTAGTTCCACAAGGGAATTATACATTTTATCTAGCGCATGAGTTTCTTGATGCACTGCCAATACATAAATTTGAGCGAACAGATCAAGGCTGGAGAGAGGTACTTGTTGATTTAGACGACTCACCTACATCGCCTCTGCATCTGCGGCTTGTATTGGCTCCCGGTCGGACTCCTTCAACAGTTCTCATTGACCCGGGTGAGACCCGTAGTCACATTGAGGTTTGTCCGCAAGCTGGCATGTTCGTACAGCATCTGGCGAAGCGTCTTGAAGTCAGTGGAGGTGTTTTCCTTCTGGTGGACTACGGACATATTGGCGAAAAGGGAGATACGTTTCGAGCATTCAAAAAACATCAAATACATGATCCCCTGTCTATGCCAGGACAAGCCGACCTAACAGCAGATGTGGACTTTGCTTATTTGCGACGCTGCGTGCAAGATCAGGTGAGTGCGGGAGAAAATGCCTAAAACTGACATATTGCCCACCTTAGGCCTCGAGAAAACCACCCTACGCACTTAAACTACTATATTTTGATTATGGATTGCCTTAATGTTCGCCTTTTATTTAAGGGAGTCATAGCCTATCTATGATTTTCGGAGGCTTTTTAAGTTAAGAATGATGGTACTAAATTAACTAGCTGTATTCTTTTAACTCTGTCGAAAACCACAACAGAAGCTGCAGTTCGTTAAGCAAAAAAACGTCTTTCTAAAGTCAATGTGAATAAAAATTGGTTCGTATCCACTCGTTTAAAAGAAAATTGCTTTGTCTTCTAGTAGTATTTTCCAAAATACGTAGGCTTCCTATTTTACCTGAACACGTTGCTGCAGCTATTTCTCGAGAGCTCACATCGAGTAACAACCCTAACGAAAATATCTTTATCGGGTTAAAATTGCTATTAGGTGTTGGCTTTCGGCCCGGTCACTCAAGGAAGTTTCCTTAAATCGATGGGTATAGGCGTTCGTCTCAAGAAACTCCTTGAAACTGTTCGAACACCTGAGGAAGGTAAGCAGCTACTTAGCGCTTACGACATGCTAACTAATCCGCGACATATGGGAGAGCGATTTAAGTTTATGGCGATGTTACCGAAGAAAGTGGCCGCGACGCTTGATCGGAATGCACCAGCCGGCTTCGAAGATGCTAATAACGCTTTTAGTAGCGTATGACTTAAAATTTTGCACTTAAGAAACCCACAGTCCAGCTCCGGCTTCAGCTTAATGAGGGGCTCGTTAAAAATAAGATGATTTCGAAACGAGAACTTAAATTCAGCTCAAGAAGTGGATTATTCTTTATATTGCTATATTGGAATCATTCATGATACCAACATACGAAATGATGTATTTCATTTTTTTTCTTTATTTTATGTTGGGTCAACCTAAAAACTCAGATCTTGGGGGTTTGCAAAGGCAAATAAACCTTTAATAATTCAATGTTACCTAGAAGAGAGGTAGTTACAATATAATAAAATGTGAATGTTTCAAACAAAAAACGTGATTTTTTTTTACTTAAAGAGGTAGGCGTAGAAAATGGCCTGCTTTCTCTCTGAGTTTAAATTTACAGTCAAAAGTTATTATGATAACATGCTTTTACAATATTACTATAGTAACGAAAACAAAATTTTTAGACATTTTCATTTGAGTGCTCGTTATATAGTAAAAAGTATAAACCGCCTCAAATTACGACTTTAAATTAACTAAAATTTTCTATTTTTGTCTAATACAAGAGTTTAAACCTAATTTTAAATTATGCATTTATAAACTAAATAGGGAACAGGAATATAAACGTTACAACAGAATTCATTTGATATGTAAAACGGTTTTCATTCAAATTATTAAGGCAAAATGAGTTGCTTTATTTTAAATTAGACTCTTAATGCGCCGACTAATACATTTATTGGGATTACGCTCTTTCGAAGAAGAGCTTTGGGATAGATGGTACAGATTGGGAAGAATATTTATCATAGCATACCCCACAAAATCGAAGGTTGCGTATATACGAACTAGGATAAAAAAACTGACCATAAATTGCCGTATAATCGACGGAAAATAGAATTATATGTTTTATTGTTAATATATATACGTTTATTATTACACGTAAAGAGACTAGTGCAGCTGGAATAGGTTATTTTCTCATGCTTACGTCGGTTGCTCTTCCTTTTAATTGCTCGCTTTTTATTTGTAATATAATAATTATAACCCACATCTTCTACTTAATCATTACCTTGATCCTCATTCATTCGCTCGTTCGTTTATTTCATTATTTTTTTTATCACACGGGTATATACAGGCCCGCTGTTGGCACACAGAGGGCACGATTAGCCATCAGTTTTTAGTGGTCATGTTTTCGCGACACGTTACTCAGCGTATGCGCGAAAGCGAAGCTGAAGTCTCACTGTTAACGATCCGTGGATTCCACTTTCGTTATGCAGCTTTTCGTATCCTTGATCACGCATCATTACGACAATGATAATTATAACGATTTCTCCCCTTTCGTCCCCTATAAACACACGGCCTCGCTTTGTTAGTCCATCAGTCACGTAGTCGCGCACGGATAGCCGTATTACTCAATAGTGACATCTGAATTTTAAATAACATTTACACAGTTTGCGCGTAATTATACCGCCTGGCGTTAAAATTCTATATCTTTCTTTTTCTAGTTTTAAGTATTTTTTTTTGTCCCATTCATATCAATGTCGTTGAGAAGCAACTTTTCTGGTACTATTGTTGTTTCTACTGTTGTTGCTTTCGCTGTCCTTTGAAGTACTTATCGCTTTATATTTGTATAGTATTTAGGCTTCTTCTCGATTTGACGTTCAAGTTTGCATGAACCTCGACTCCAGTGTTGATAAGAAACACTATCCAAAGTTAGTTCCTGGCTTAGGAGTACATCGACATGTTTTGCAGATATGCTTGCTTTTTAGCGGTCGGCAATCAATGTATAGATACCTTATAATATCATTTTAGTAACGTGTAGTAAACATTTATAAATGTATGTCTTTGTTTACTTTTTACGTATAAGATATACAACTTGAAATGGATGTATGCATTTAATACTGTTTTTTGTTCCGTTTGATTGTGTTATATTTATGTGTGTGTGTGTGTGTTTTTCTTTATACTGCGATAAAAGTCGTTTGTGTGACACTCATCGCACATTCGTCATGCAAAAGGCATGTTTACGCTAACAAACAAGTGGCGTATTAGTTTTAACAGTCTCATATCACTATGTGTTTCATATATATAAAACAAAAATGAGACTTTACCATTAACATGGTCACCACTACTATGCATATTTATGTATGCATGAGCGTGCAGTAAAAGCAACAATCTATCTATTTGGGGGTAACGGCGGCTCATTTGAATTTCGTTCCGTTACGTTTTGTTACATATTATCGTATAGCCACTAAGATTTCTGCATTGGATAAAAAACAGCTGTGCAACGTAAAATCAAGGACAAAGGGTAGTCGTTAATGGGTCGTATATTTATAGAATACCGTATCACAAATCACGTCGACTTTTGCACTAAAAGATTGTTTTAGATTAGGCAGCCATTATTAGCGTTTTAGCAACCTATTGATTCGAAGGAGGAAATATCAGAACAAGCATTTCTAGGCTACGGAATGCATAATTTGGAACTTAAGGGAAACTGGGGTCGTAAGACGTTGCATTAACTAAGACGTATTCTACGTCCATGGCCTCGATCAGTGAAAAAAAATGATCGAATGTTACCAAACTTTTACACAACTACAGGTAAAATGAGAACTCGATGTGTGGTAGTACAGACCACTGTGTCAGCTCAAGATGGCGAATTCTGATTTGAATGTGTGGTCAAGTTCACGTGCGTGTCGACATATTCAGTTCCCAAACTAGCTTAGACTGCCAACCTAGACCAGCTTAGATCAAAACGAGCTTATTTTTTCAAACAGAAATAAAGAGACGGGAGGTTACTGATGTGTGCGCGACTGAACCGTTCGAGAAAAGTTAGCGCCTGACAGGCCTTTTGGTCATCACCATCTTTCTTACCTTTTTTCACCATTCACAGGTTCAGCCGCTTCATTTCCCGACCAGACGGGACATGGGAACTAACAGATTCCTTCTTCTTCTACCTTATAATGATGCTTCCCCGTGTTTAAACGGGATGCTAGTCTCGCCTAAGCATTCAGTTACTCTAAACTTCTCTCTGGTAGCCTGATGTAATGCATTTGGCTACTTTTGCCAAATTAATAAGCGTGCCCGTTACGAAACCGGCGATACCAAAGCACATGATAAGCACATTCTTGATGACCATAGCATACCATCGTTTTTTACTCATCTCGTCATCATCGTAAAAGGTAAACAACTCAATTAGCGGTGGAATGATTAAAGCTAACGAGGATGACACAAGCGCTCCGACAAGTGAAATAAATAAGTCCAGCTCCGGAATACTCATGGCTAAGATGAACGTAAAGGTCACAAGAGCTGTACGTAGGCCTAATTCAATGTAAAGTAGCTGGTGCGGGGCGCACCGGGACGCTAGCTGAAAGCGATCCTTTAACCACGGCCAGAAGATTTGCATCGGCACGTACATTTGAAGGGCGTACGAGAGAAAGATCGAGATAGCGAAGATCCCTCGAACCGTCTCACTTAACCACCCGCTGTCGAAGTTCAAAGTGATTGAACCCTGGATCGCCTCACCGTATTTCAGGTAGCCGAAAAACCCAACTGCTGTGTACAGGATGACGACAAGTGACATGCCCGTATTCATGACACCGAAGAGGCCTGCAAAGTCCTGTGGTCTTTCCATCTCGTTCTCCAACGGAAGTACCTGAAAACGAAATTATCTACGGAGTTAGTTTACGAGCATAAAAACGTAACACGAGAAAAGTTCTGTTTCAAAAAGGAATCATAATTTACTGTACCAATGTTACCGATTAGAACATGTATATAAAAGAAAACACAAACAACATTATTATACAATCATAATTCTTAATTTTTTTGGTTAAAATTAGCCCTAAAGGATAAAAACAAGTATAAAAACAATTTGGCAGCTAAAATGTTGTCACAATAGAAAAGCAGCCTCTTATTATTACAACTATATTTCGATCCAGTAGGTATATTTTTACTCACAATTCCAATGCCTTCAAAGGCATAGATTGCGGTTCCAAAAAAGAGCGGCATTTTTGAAATGTCTTTGTAAGTATCACGTGATAATATATTGGGCAGACCGTCCTTGAAAATTATATAAAAAATCAGAACCATGCCGCCCATTTGAAGCACGTTGGCTACCGTTGAAGCAATCGCAAGAGTCTTGAGACTTCGGATGTAGTTGTACAGGATCATTATCGGTAGTATTATTGCGAGATAAGCATAAATCGGCAAATTTTTCCCTCTATCTAAATGAAGGACACCTGCAAGCGCAAATCGTAGAAAAAAAGTGTACATATAATATATAATGGGACAGTGCAGTAATACTCGCTGAATACTTGTCTAAGGATCAGTTTTGTTAGAACAGGTTGAGGAAAAGCGTTTTCTTACAACTGTCTCAGTGTCAATAGTTTACCTGTTATATAATGTCAGATGATAAGTGAAAGATGTTTTCCAGAGCGCTGGTATTGCTATTAGATTGCTACATCGATTCGAAAAAGCTATCACAGCATAGCGCATGATTCTTATTTCTATTTCCCTTAGATCGCAAACATAGGTAACGAGGCCACTTAGGGTTATACAGCATAAAGAACACCAGAGTATCCCTGCTCACGAAAATTAAACATATTTTTAAGGGGCTAGTTAGGAAAACTCCGATACCCCAAATCCTCATGCGGTTACACAGACTCCGTATTTCATTACGGATTCATGCGGAGTATTGATCAAGTTCTGTTTGGAACGAAATATTAACGTATACTTCTCTATGCCGTTGACTACTAGGAGCTTTCCATTATAAGATTGTTGATGCCAGACATGTTGAAATGTAAGACTGAGGGGAAAACTCACCTTCTGCAACTTTCTGTACACTGGTAGCAACGAATACAAAATACACACAGCAGAAGCCAATTTGTGTTAAAATTAGAAAGCCGTTGATGATTTTTCCCGCTACTCGTGAATAGGGCCGAAGTCTGTACGGTCCGCAGGCGACAGCCTCCTGAGTTACACCAGCAAAGTCTAACGATCGAACTTGTTTTCTGAAATTATAGAGTCGTTATATGCAGTGTGTATTATTACATTAAATAACAGCTAATGTTGCGCCATGGACTACTATTTCATCACTCACATCTAGGTAGCATTACATTTGATGATAGAATACGCGTTAAAAAATGTCTTGTGTATCATAACGAAGTATCTGATTGTCTCGACGACAGGCCTGAAGATGAAGTGCAAGGAAACGATGAAAACAATACTTTGGCTCTATCTCATTTAATAGCAATGGTGGAATTAACGCCTACTATTATAGTCAGTGTTGAACATGACGACGGATTTCCCTAAGTGATCCTCTTAAAAGCCTTTTTTGCTTTCCCGTGCTTTGCTATCGAATGTGTTCGTTTCTGGGACAAAGACGTACTTCTTTTTGTAAAGGGACTGCACACTGTTTTATAGGAGCACAACAAAGGATCTCTATATAGCAGGTTGCTGCGTTAGAGTTAGATAGAAGCTAGAGCTAACGTCTTGTATGGGAAGGACAAAAATAATGAATAATTGCTAGATTGTCACACACATTGTATCTACATGATAATAATAGTAGAGTTAGGGATATAT